GACCTTTGTGAATGTGGGCACCTTTCTCTTATGTGTTCAGCCTGCTGCTCTGGCTGTTTCCCATGCCAACTGTGGGCAACCTTGGGTCTCTGTTTGTACCACCTGCTGTGGGCCCAGTCATGTCTTTTGTGGGATCATTGGGGGTGGCATCAATTATGTCCCAGCTGATTGACTTGTTTGTACCCCCAGCGATCACTCATGGACTGTCCTTTCTGCCTACACCACAGTCTGTGTATTGGTTCATCTTCCTGCTGGCTGCATCAATTTTCTTGGGCCTGGTCATTGGCAGAACAGATGGAGAGCCCCCAGGCTGTGCAGAGAGGGCTGGGGTGGGGGGCACAGCCCTTGGGGAGACCCAGCTCTGCCTGTACCCCCAGGATGTGCCTGAGGATAGAGGGAGGACACAGGAGAGCTGTGGTGCTACAACAGATGCACCATTCCATCTCCACTCTCATGCCACCCACATCCCTGTCCCTGAGAAACCCCCAGACACTAAGGAATCTCTCCAGGCCCTGGGGTGTCCCCACTAGAAGTGCTTTTGCTCTTCATGGGTGTAATCAGCCCTTTGCAGCAAAGCTGAGGGGACCTTATGGTTTAGTGGCTGTGCTGGGTTGATAGTTGGACATCATGATGGTGGAGGTCTCTTCCAACCTTAGTGGTTCAATGATTCAAGCCTGGGAGGCTCCCACCCCAGCAGGGGTGAGGTGGCTGTGGCTGCCAGCTCCAGGTTGGTTGGACTTTGTGGGGCTCTGGGTGCTGCCTGTGTCCAAGAGGAAGGGAAGCTGGTCCCTCCACCCCAGGGCCGTGCCTGGGGAAGGCATCACCCCTGCTCTAGGTTTGGGGTTTGGACCAGGGCATATCCACCCCACTGTTGCAGCTGGGAAGAGCCAGACCAGCCCCTCCTCCAGCCCTGCTGCTGGGCCCCTGCTTGTCTTGGCCTCCCTAAAAGCACTGAGAGAGTGAAAAATCCTAATGGGATTAGTTCTGTCCTGTCAAACTGCTGACGTGGTGCAGGGCTGGGCACTTAGCACAGCTACAACCAGAATTTGAGGAGAGGAGGGTGAAAAAAGAGGGGAGGGACAGAAGATGCTGAACAGCTACTTGTGTTTATGGCTTGTGTGCACAGAGGGAAGGGACACTCAGGGAGGGGTGGCAGTTTATGGTGCTAATTGTTTTATCTAATAGCCATTAATTAGTTCCTGAGTCATGGCACCTGTTTACAAGAGGATTGTGCTGGTGGACAGATTCATACCCCTCAAAGAGTGTGGAAATAGAGCTCCAGGCAGCTTGGGAACACAATATAGGAGAGGATCAAGTGGAGGGGGGGATGATCCTGGGTTCACCCTTCCAGGGAGGGCCCTGCTGGGCTGGTGTCAGGCTGCTCTCATGCCTCCACGCTGGCAATGAAGAAGGCAAAACAGAAAGGAGAGGAGAGGCTGGAGGGATTTGCTGTGTTTAGAGGCTCCTTCTGCCCTCCCAGCTCCAGCTGGCAGCTGTGCTGGCCCACCTCCCAGCACGGCCAGGGTCGAGGGGGCCCTGACATCCTCATCCTGCTCCAGAGCAGCTCTGAGCCATGGCACCATTGCTGCTTGGCAGTAATGTATGGGGTGGCTCTGGGCATTTTATTTTTCCTTTGAATAATTTAGTCCTCTTTCTTCCTCTGCTGTTCAACTGGCTCTTGCAAGACAAAGCAAATTCCTCCATGCCCCCAAGATGAGGGGCTCTAACACCTTTTCCTGGAGCCATGGGAGAAGCTTGGCAGCACAGGAGCTTTCAGGGGGGAGGCAATGGGGCTGGAGAACCCCTCTTGTGCTTAGCACAGGTTTGTGCATCAGGTTTTGAAGACGTGCTGTGTCTGTGGCCAGGAGGATGTGTGGAAGTCACCTGCTCACCCCCCCTGAGCTTAGCCAGGAGCCTGCCCTGCCTCCACTGCTGCTTTTCACTAGGGGGTGGTCGCTTGGTTCCAAAGCCAAACTGAGGCACCTCATCCAAGGCAGCGTGCACTTGGCCATGAGAAATGCTTGCAGGTCCAAGCTGTGGCTCACATAAGTCGTGCCCAGTGCTCACCAGTGGGCACAGTTGCACCCCCAGCCTGGGTTGGCCCCTCCAGTGCTTGCCTGTGTCACACCCAGCTTGTACTGTGTACCAAGAGCATTACCAGGCAAGAAGTTAATTGGTGAGAAAGTGGTTCAGAAGGTGCTTGGCCTTCAGCTGAGCCTGGGCTAGAGCTGCACTTCTCCCCTCCTGCCTGCTGCATTAATGCTCTCTGCCTCAGAGAGATGCTCACGTTCTGTTGTATCCCTGGGCTGAAGCTTTCCTAGGACCTACAGGTCTGGCTGCAGGGAGGGACTTTGGCTCAGCTGGCCCAGAAGGAGGGACAGAGAGGAGCACAGCCACAAGTGACTGCCTGGGTTGGGGGCCAGGATCAGATGCCTGCAAGAGAAACGGTGCTGGGATGCACCAAGGGTGGGGATACAGCTCAGGCAGCCAAGGAGTGGGGTGCTGCCCTGGCAGGGCAGAGCTGTCAGGAGGGTGGGGGACCACATTTCACTGTAAGCAGCTCCTCCCAGAGCTGAGGCAGTGCAG